GTTTATGGATCAAATTGAACTCCTCTGAGTGGTTCCACTTGTGTGTCTGATTCACTGCACAGCCAAGATATTGATGAAAAATAAGAAATTCCTTGGTAAATAATTTCCTCATAACCTTGTTATGAGAGGTGTGGGAAAGCTTATATTTCTATAAGCCTACATCCTACACTGGCTCCTGAGAGACTGACTGGGACTTTTGAAGGAAACACTCATTGGTCCTTAAAATGGGTCTGGTTTTCTTCTTGTACTGCAGATGTGCTGAGAAGGTCATCAAGGGTCCAGACTTGAAGCTGGTGCTTCCAGACGGGTAAGAACAGTTCTCATCATCATAGTTATCTGCAGCTGGAAGTAGGATCAGGAAACGCTGCAGGGCTTCATGTCTGCAGTCTGATCATCCTGATCAAACTGATGTTTGTGGACTTCGGAGGTGGCGTTGAAGCTAATGGCAGCTTAAAAAGTGTTCTCCCACCACCTGAGGGCTGATGATGTAACAGAAGAGTTTCTACGTTCACTGGACCCATCTTTAGGAATAAAACAGAACAAAGAAATAATGAGAGATAAAGATGGAAAGATTGAAACCAATAAAGCCCCAGGTACAGATGGTTATCCATGTGAACGGTATAAAACTTTCAGAGCTCAAATAATGCCTTCAATATGTTGCTTAACTGTTTAATCACACATTGGAAAAAGGGGAAGCCCCTCATCTATGGCAGGAGGTGATTATTTCTGTTGTCCCAAAAGAGAACAGACCAAAAGGAATGCAGGTCATGCTGACCAATATCTGTACTTAATGTGGGTTTTAAATTATTTGCCTTAATCTTATTTAAAGGCTGGGAATTATCAGACTTTTGACTCTGTGATCTGGGCTTATTTATATTTTATATTTATATTTATTATATTTGTATTTATATTACTAGATTCAGCTTTAATTATAGTTTTACCACGTTCATTTACTCCACATCAACAGCCTGCAGTAGCATAAACAGACAACTGTCACAAATAATTTATTCAATTAATTTATTCATTTCATTTAAAAATAAAAATTAAAAAAACATCATATGCTCTGTTTACATCATCAACATACACATCCTTCCAATCTTGGTTTATTAAACCATCTTTTAATTTGTCCAACCCCTTTTTTGACGTGTTTAATATTTTTTTCTTGATTGAAACTACCGTACTTTTGTSCTGTACTGATCATTTTTATAAATAGTGAAAACCGGCAAGTGATCGCTTAAATCAGTAATCAAAATGCCAACCATTACCTCTGTGTTTGTTATATTTGTGAAAATATTATCAATTATTGTAGCGCTATGAATTGTGATTCTTGTAGGTTTTGATATCAGTGGATTAAGATTTAAACTATACATTGAATTTATAAAAGTACCAGTATTATTTGAGTCTGTTTTATTACCCAGATCAATGYTAAAGTCTCCACAAAAGAAAACAGTTTTATTAAGTCCTTTCCAGTAGTTCCATAATTTGATCTGTGAATAAGTCTATACTTGAGTCAGGTGATCAATATACACAACTTACTATGTTTTTGGAATTCTTATTTGTTATTTCGACTGTAATCATTTCCATAACACCATCTATACTTATTTACATTTTATTTATTATTTTACATTTTATTCTCTTATCTACAAGAAAAGCCACCCTACCATCTCTTTTATTGTTTCTGTTCTTATAATACAGTTCATATCCCGCAATGTGAACATCGTCTATGTTGTCATCGTTCAACCATGTCTCTGAGAGTGCTATATTAAGTTATATTTAACTGTTTCAAATAATCTGTTATTTTAGATAAATTGGCATTTATACTTCTGCTATTAATATGAATTATAGATAGATCACTACCAGTTGTTTTAATATTATTAAAGTGCTCTTAATTATAATATTCACGATCGTTGATTACTGGAAAAAAATTTGAATCAATCATCCTGTCTATATCATATTTTAGATTCTGGATATTAGGGCTGCGTATTGGCAAGAATTTGGGGATACGATACAAATCATGACAGAGGGGTCACGATACGATATATTCCAATATATTGCGATACTG